TCAAGGGCTAACTCATTAGAACCCTTCTTGGTTTGTTCTTTATGCCCAGGTAACATGGGTTTTTCCCAACCGACATGCCTAGATCGTCAAGCACAGCCCAGTATATGCAAACATCGTTTGCTTAGTATAGCCCACGAGGGACCACACTCCCACTAAGTTCATGTTCCCCTACATCATTTCATTTTACAAGCACTCATAAGGCATTTAAAGACCACATGAACCCAACACTAATTTGGGATTTTTTTTTTAAATTTAAGTTTTAGGATCCATCTAATTATGACGAGATGATTGCTATCAAAGAAAAAACAAATTTTAATTTTTGAGTTCACAAAAATCTGGATCAACCTCTCCAAAAATCAAATGGTTTTGGTGCAATCGTGGGATGATTTCTTCTTTTAGGCACATAAAGAGTTAGAGTTAAAGTTTTTTTTATTTTTTTGAAGGTCGTTTGCCGGAATCTAGAGATCACATCCCCAAAATTTGAGATAAAAAAGATATTCTTAAAGCAAGCTTTGCCTGAAGGAATAAATGGATAGCATGCTCTTGTGGGAGTAGGAAAACTTTTGATAAAAATATTTATATAATTTTGCGTCTCTAAAGATCTAATGGCCCAAATCTCTAATTAAATTCGAGGAAATCATCTTTTATAGAAGAAAGAAAATTGTTTCATGCCAGCTAACCACATCACTACATGTACGGTCCAAAAAGTGTAAAGCATCCATTTTAAAGATGGATGCAAGTAGGTGTTCCATCAACAAACAATGGAAACTAACGGTCCAAATGTTTTTTTACAAGAATTATTATTTTTAGCTTTTAAACTTTACTTATTTTTCATATTCATGATCTCCATGTTAGAGATTATAAGTCCTTAAATATTAAGTGCAAAAAATCCATCTAAAAAATAGATTTATTAATAGGCCCGCATTTCCACATATACGAGTTTGGCCGCATAAAACCCAGGTCCTTTATAGAAAGACGGATGACGTTTTTTTAACCTGTGGATGTTCCATTCTGGAACTTGATGTTCCATGGCCACAAGTATTTTTTCTGCTCGTTCTTGGAAGTAACATACTGCCCCGGAGTATATTTGTACATTTATTATAATAGACTTAAAATACTTTTGACTGGAAATTTTGTGATGCACTTTCTAAATTATTAGGTTTGAGCTCCTGCATACTATAACTATCTAAAACTCAAAGTTCAATCTCAAGATATTATTATTTGTAAGCACATAAAAATGTTAATTGTTTAGATTTTTTTTCAATTTCGGAAATGTGATAAGATTTTATCCCAGAGAACGACGTAGAATATGCTCCCAGAGAAACATGTAATCTTTAGGGCTTTGAAAATCAATAATGACGGCTGTTCTTTTGTGAACCGTGTGTGCATTGTCGTGGGGCCTTATGTTAGACCTCCATGTTTGTTGCCTTCCCACGTAGTCTCGTTTTCTCACTATTAGATGCATTACGTGCTTTGCGATGATGTTTGTTTAAAGAACTCTTACGAGTGATTTCTAGGTTATTACCCATTTCGTGTTATTACACGGCGGTCACAAATTTCGAATATATATGGAACTTTGCGTTGATCTTTGTTTAAAGAACTCTTACGAATTGAGTGATTTTTAAGTTATTACCCATTTCGTGTTATTACACGGTGGTCACAAATTTTGAATATATATAGAACACTAACTCAGTATATCGTTTAACAAATAAGATATGGGTGACTTCTTGAATTATAATCTGTTTTTTATCATATTCTATCATTATAAATTTTAAACATATGCTGAATATACGTGACAAATATGATGTGCCTTGAGGAGTATCATATTTTGCTAGGTATTTATATTAGTATAAACATAATTCTTAGAATAGTGATTTTTTACATTAAGACAATTTTTTAACATTTTTTTACAATAGATCAAAACAATTATTATCACAGATAAATAGTGTACTATTTAACAATGAACATATGTTATTTGATTTCATGAAAGTGCAATATGGATGGCGATAAAAAAACAAAAAAACAAAACATACCATACATTCATGGGGAAAATTCGATTGAGGTAGAAAAATATAACACGACATAAAAATGAACATATGGTATTTGATTTCATGGAAGCACAACATGCATGATAACAACAAAAAAAAGGAAAAATTTGATTTTTTGTAGTTTTAAGGGCGTATGCATGGACCATTATAAATTAAGTAATTGGTCAGTAGTTTTATCAATAGTTTTATTAAATATAATGGAAAACAATGAAAAAAACAAAAAATTTACTTCATTATTTTGGTCAGTAGTTTTATCAATAATTTTATTAAATATTATGGAAAATAATGCAATAAAACAAAAAAGTTACTTCATTGTTTTATTCCTACTATTGCCTCACATGTTTAGAGAGCAAAGAAATGACCATTTTCCGTTCATGTGATCGAGAACCTATTCGAGGATATTAAACAAAATTTAAAAAATATAAAAAAAAAACCCAAAAAAATTAAGAAATCTATTTGTAATGTGTTTTTTTTACATTTTCTATCACTTTGGCAAAGATTGAAAAATACTTTGGCCCAATTTGGGGATATTTAAAAATTTATAAAAATCTCAAAAAATAAGAAATCTATTTATATTTTTTATCATTTGGCAAATATTAAAAAATATTTTGGCCATGGATACTTATTTTTACATTTTTGTAAACATAGACTCTCACTTGCTTCAATCCATA